CAGGCAAAGGACCCGGGTGGCGGGTCTACTCGCAGCCGCTGGGACTCACAGCCGGCCCGGGCGGGTGACCGCACACAGCAGGGTGCCCTGAGCTGCGGGCATCACACATTCGCACCACAGGAGGGAGGGCTCAGCGCAGGCTCCAAGGCAGCCTTGCCAGAAGGACACCCGGGATGCCCCCGTTGTGCCGTCAGGGGCTGGCTCTGCACCAGGGCCTGAGCCGGGGAGGGGAGAGGACCAGGGTGGAGGAGGCGAGCAGCCGTCACGAGAGGCAAGACGGAGAGGAGCCGCGAGGCCGCGAACGGCTGCGCTGGGAGAGGCCCAAGGCCGAGGGCCAGGCCTGGATTTGGAATGTTGAATGTGGGCATCACTGGGTTATGGACCCTCTGCGCCCAGCCCTGTGACCACACAGCAGCCTTGAGTGAGCAGGCTCTTATGGAAATCCAGCTGGTCACATTCCACAGGTGCTGACGGGGGGCCTGCCCTCTTACACCCTCCAGGGCCAGGTATGAGACCCAGGCCTGACCACTCAGCACCTTCCCCATGCCAGCCATAGCCGGCTCAGAAATGGGCAGAGCACAGAAGCTGCCCACCCCAGGGGATCCCCCAGAGCTACCTGGAGAGCCCGACTTTTTTCCACTGGCAAAGCCTGAACTTCGAGGTATAGACAGGGAGCTGTGGGCTTTATCCTGCAATTACACCAGGATGGCCTGCCTGAGAGTGGAGCCATCACAGAGGAGCACAGACAGAAGGACACTCCTGGATCCAGCCACGCCTGAAACCAACAGACCTCTCTCTGGTCACACAAATCAACAAACTGCCCTGTGCCTAAGTCAGTTTGGGGCTGGTATCAGTACCAACCAGGGACGGCGTTCCATGCTAGATCAACACTGGGGTAGAGACAGGCATCAGATGCCTGGCAAGGGTGGATGCAAGAATTCTGCAGAGACAGAAAAGCAGGGCCAAAGGTGACCGGAGAAATGTAGGCTCCCAAGAAGTCAACACACTCTTGGGATTTGGGGGCTGGGACTGGGCCTCCTCCAGGCCTCAATGGACAGGAAGACCTCAGCTGACTCCAGCATGACCCAGGCTTTTTAAGGTCTGAATAAGGTTTGCAGTTTAGGTATTCTAGACTGCTTAATCTCCTAATGTTCTCTCCCTTTTTATTTTTATTTTAAGACAGAGTTTCACTCTGTCACCCAGGCTGGAGTGCAGTGGTGAGATCTTGGCTCACTGCAACCTCTGCCTCCCAGGTTCAAGCAATTCTCCTGCCTCAGCCTCCCAAGTAGCTGGGACTACAGCTGCGTGCCACGACACTGGGCTAATTTTTGGTACTTTTAGTAGAGATGGGGTTTCACTTTGTTAGCCAGGATGGTCTCGATCTCCTGACCTCGTGATCTGCCCACCTCCGCCTCCCAAAGTGCTGGGATTACAGGCATGAGCCACTGCACCTGGCCCCTCTCTCCTTCTAAAATTTCTTTTAGAAAAGAGCCTTTGTTAAGTTGCCCAGGCTGAATGCAGTGGCTATTCACAGGCACTACAGCCCTGAACTCCTGGGCTCAAGCAATCCTCTTGCCTCAGCCTCCCAAGTAGATGGAACTACTAGTGTGGTGCCACCGTGCTGGGCTTGATCTCTTGATAAACACTTAGGTCATTTCCAGTTCCTTACTGCTAGCCACGTTCTGTATTGAACATCCTGAGACACAGCTTTACCTGGTTTCTGCAGCTCCTGGGGTACAGAACACATTTGCCAATTATGCCCAGTGGACCACTACCCCCATGTCAGAGCCCAGGAGGCAACTCCAACAGGAGGCAAGAAGTATGAGTTCATTTTGCACAGGAGGAAACTCAGCCTGTGAATGGGGCAGGAAGTTGCCTGAAGCTGGTTGCAGGTGTGAACTCCCCAGTCTCCTGCCTGAAAGTATAGGCTCTTTGCCTGACTGAAGTACTTTCAGGAGCCATGGATTCAGACCCCACGTGTCCAGCCTGGCCATGCCCAGTCTTGCAGTGACTCTGTGGGGGAGATCTTTTCCCTCTCTGCATCTCTATAAGGCTAGCTATAAAATACAGGGAATCCTGAACTTGACTGCTCTTCAGAAATTCGAGGCACACACTGTCCAAGGAGCTCTAGACTGCATTAAAGAGTTCATTCGCTGGGTGTGGTGGCTTATGCCTGTAATCCCAGCACTTTGGGAGGTGGAGGTGGGCAGATCACAAGGTCAGGAGTTTGAGACCATCCTGGCTAACACAGTGAAAACCCGTCTCTACTAAAAATACAAAAAATTAGCTGGGTGTGGTGGCAAACACCTGTAATTCCAGCTACTTGGGAGGCTGAGGCAGGAGAGTCGCTTGAATTCAGGAGGCGGAGGTTGCAGTGAGCCGAGATCGTGCCACTGCACTCCAGCCTGGGCAACATGAGAATCCGTCTCAAAAAAAAAAAAAAAAAAGTTCATTAAAATGCACCCTCAGATTTTACAGTACTATAGCTTTTCTGAAAAAGCAGCTAACAATGGCTGAGCACTTACTACATGACATGGATTAAAAATTAAGTCCTCCCAACAATCCTAGGTGGTAGGTATTATTATCCTCTCTACGCTCCAGATAGGAAAGTCATAGCAGATAGAGGTTCCAGAGCTTTCCTTGCTTCTGGTAATGTTTCTTACAGGTTTTGGTATGAATGTTACATTGGCCTCATCAAATGAGTTGGGAAATACTCCCTCATTTTTAGTCTCTGGACAGGTTTGTATAAGACTGGCAGTATTCCTTTAACCATTTAGAAAAATTTCTCAATGAAAACATCTGAACCTAGAATTTTCTTTGTGGGAAGATTTTATTTTTTTTATTTTTTTTTTTTTTTGAGACGGAGTTTCGCTCTTGTTACCCAG